CCACGCCCCAGCGGCACCACTGAGAGGGTCCTGGGGGCTGCTGGCAGGTGCGGGCTTTGCAGGTTTGCCGAACTCCGGGTGCCCTTGGAGCGGGCAACAGTCCCTGCCCAGGAGGCCGTCCCTTCAGATGCCTCCGGGGTTTACCCGGCTGCAAGGGAATGGCCTTGCCCCCACCCCATGAACCGCTTCACTTCCTCCGGCCTTTGTGGTGGCCTCGGTTTGGCCCTATGACCCCTAATGACGGCCGCCCTTTGTGGGCACTCCCAGCCCTGCTCGCTCGATCGCTTGTCCTCTGAAACGGCAGCGGTTTCCCGGAGCCTTTGTTGTCTTGGTCTTTCTTTCCCACATTCGGAAGGACAGGACTTTTCTCTCGGAGTGAGTCCCGCTCCGCAGCCCCTGGCACGCAAAGGTCTGAGAAGTGAAACGTTCGCATTATGTGTCGGAATGGATTTCTGCCCCCAGAACCCTATTCAACTCATTTTGCAGGATGTGCTCTAAGGCAGGCAGGCTCTGCAGAGGGGCCCAGCCGGCTCGGCAGGCGGAGGGAAGTGGCATCTCACAGGGAAATGAGTCGAGGAGGCTGCACCCAGGGGGAGCTGCATCATGGGGGCGGGGGGAGGGCTGTGTCGTGGGGGTGACCCTGCTTCTCAGTCTGAATCCTCGCTCTGAAAATGAGAGGCGTCTGGGCTTAAGTAAATCCTGTGCCGAGTGCTGTGGGGGAGCTGCCCAGGTGCCGGGGTGGGCAGGGCCGGTGCCCGCGGGGCTACACGTGCCGGAGGCAGCCAAGGGCTGCAGAGCTCGATTCTTGCACTTTCCTGGTGGGGAGGCTGCACGCCCAGAGCAGACCCCCTGGTTTCTTTCTTGACAAGCAATATGCTGTTTGGATATTTTTAACAACGTGGCACAAACGTCACGTGTCTGATTCTTCTGTGATTGAGCATTTACATTCGGGGACTGCAAACCAGCTGCTCTTTTCTTCCTACAAACCCCACTGCCCTTGGGAGAGATTCTCCTCCTAAGGACTGAGGGCTCGACCTGGCTGGGAGCCGCGTCCGGAGGGGGCGGGGCTGGGCCCTGGCCGCCCTGTCCCCTCTGCTCCCTGAGGAGACCCGGGAGCCTCGGCCCAGCTCAGTGCCCGCGCTTCCCTGTGCGCCAGCATGTCGGGTCTTCCCGCACATTCACCCTCCAAACCCCCTTAACTCGTGCAGCGGTGTCCATCGTCCCACTTTACGACGACAAACTGAGTCAAAGCTACAGAGCTGTGGGGCAGACCAGACAGCCCGGGCCCGTCCCTGCCTTCGGCCCTGGTCGACCGTGTGGACTTGCGTCTGTCTTGGGCTGTTTTCTCTCCACAGACAGTGGGCTTCCTGCTCCTGAGACACAGTGACTCCCGAGCGCCTGCCCCCCAGGAGCCGCTGCGCACGGACGCTGCTCCGTGGAGAGGGACCTGCAAGGCCTGTCCCTCTCCCAGTGGGGCCTGCCCTTCTCTCACTGGGTCCTCACAGCTTCCTCAGCACCGGCGGACCCTACACCGAATGAGGTGCAGAGCAGGCACAGGGGCGGCGGCGCATCTCCGGGGAAAGCATCCTGGAGACACGTCGTGCCGGGGGCCAGAAATAAGTGCTCTCCCTCCGCACTCGGGGGAATGTATTGGGGGGGGGGTGTTTTACTTCACACACATTGGCTTTCTCCCTCCTGCAGAGCAGGCATTGGGGCCTGGGCAGTGGCTCAGTGGTTAGAACATCAGCCTGCACACCGAAGGGGCACAGGCTCGATCCCGACCCCGGTCCGGGTGCAGGCAGGAGGCAATAGTCGATGCGTATCCCTCACAGCCTGTCTCTGTCTCTCTCTCAATATCAATGGGAAAAAACATCCTCGGGTCGGCATTGGTCAGCCTCCTGGTGGGAGTGACCCATGACCTTGGATGACCTGTGACCTCAGTGTCGGGAGAGGCGCCCAGGTCGGCCAAGGACCCAGCCCGAGTACCGCCGCTCTCGTGTGGTCGGGTCTGCGGGGGACAGAGGACAGCCCAGCAGAGCCATTGAAGGGACGCGGGCGCTGGCTGAGCCCACGTGTGGGTCTGTCTGTCACCAAAAGCTTCCTTTTGTTGAACCCCCTTCTCCTCCCGCAGTCACGCCTCACAGTGGCCGTCCCCCACTGACCCCGCGAAGGCAGCGACTTCTCTGTAAACGCGAGGGCCTCCCGTGGGGGCTTTCCTGAGCGGCGCTATCTCGGCTCCCACACGCCCCTTTCTGTGAAGGGAGTCGGTCTGGATCTCAAACGTCGTCTAAGATTCGTTGAGACAAGGGTCTGCGGCCTGCACTCCTGTGCAGCCGAGGGCGTGACAGCCAGGCAA